GAGTATATATGGTCATTTGTTGTCCAGGTACAATTCAGCACACAAATGCTGTCAATGATATGTGCAACACAAAGCAAGCTACACAACAGAAATACCACAACCCTAGTTGGACATCTACACAACCCTACACAACCCCAGTGATGTTCGACATCTACACAACCCTACACAACCCCCGTGATGTTCGGCATCTACACAACCCCAGTGATGTCAGACATCTAGACAACCCCAGTGATGTCAGACATCTACACAACCCCAGTGATGTTAGACATCTACACAACCCCCGTGATGTCAGACATCTACACAACCCCAGTGATGTTCGACATCTACACAACCCCAGTGATGTCAGACATCTACACAACCCCAGTGATGTTAGACATCTACACAACCCCCGTGATGTCAGACATCTACACAACCCTACACAACCCCCGTGATGTCCGACATCTACACAACCCCAGTGATGTCAGACATCTAGACAACCCCAGTGATGTTAGACATCTAGACAACCCCAGTGATGTTAGACATCTAGACAACCCCAGTGATGTCAGACATTTAGATAACCCCAGTGATGTCAGACATCTAGATAACCCCAGTGATGTCAGACATCTAGATAACCCCAGTGATGTTAGACATCTAGATAATCCCAGTGATGTCAGACATCTAGATAACCCCAGTGATGTGAGACATCTAGATAACCCCAGTGATGTCAGACATCTAGATAACCCCAGTGATGTTAGACATCTAGATAATCCCAGTGATGTCAGACATCTAGATAACCCCAGTGATGTGAGACATCTAGATAACCCCAGTGATGTCAGACATCTAGATAACCCCAGTGAAACGCTTCAGCAAGCACTGAAACCCCCCCCCCATATTGGACACTCAACAAAAGACTACTGACGCTGACACTACATGCTATTCTGTGTAGACTTTACCCTGACAATACCTGCTATTTATAACAGACTTCACATTGACAATTGACACGACAGTATGCAGACTTCACATTGACAATTGACACGACTGTATGCTGACTTCACATTGACAATTGACACGACTGTATGCAGACTTCACATTGACAATTGACACGACTCTGTGCAGACTTGACTAACCGGGTCCATTCCTTTCTTGAGGTTGACAAACATATCTCCGACTGCGGTCATGGCCAGCCGCGACACCTGGGACCTCAGGTTCTTCACCTTCACAGACAAAATACAAAAAACAATTTCGTAAATGGCAACATAACAAAGTTTTTCAGTTGCATAGTTTACAGCATGTAGTTTACAGCTTCATCTTCCTGTCATAGTTTACAGCTTCATCTTCCTGTCATAGTTTACAGCTTCATCTTCCTGTCATAGTTTACAGCTTCATCTTCC